AAGGCGTCGGACAATTCATAAAATAATACTTTTTAAAAATCAAACGGTTTAGCCGCAAACTTCCGTGCCGTATAGCGTGAATAACCCTGTATATCCTTTATTTCCTTCTGGTTTGGACTGAGACGAGAAAGATTGTGAATTATTCTCAATGGATCGTTGTCAGATTACCCCGAAATGTGTGGCCTTCAAACAAACAGCATCAAAGGCTTATCACCAATGTATCATTGTTTGCTTGAGTGGCTTACGATCGCTGATAACGCCAGCTCGAGAAAGACACAGTTTTTCGTCAAACCGCAACGAAAATGTGTTGCTCAGAAGGTCTGGTGCGGGCCTGTGTGTTTGTAGTAAACTTTGCCCTCGGTCTAATCGGCATCGTGCTCTTATCACTCGGCGCTTTCTACACCATCCAGTTGAACCAATACGAGCTAGGAATTCCCGAAGACTACGAAACACTGAAATTCCTACCCATCTACTCAATGATCGTGGGGGCCGTCGCTTTCCTAATATCTTTCTGGGGGTGTTGGGGCACCCTGAAGAGCAACACGAGCCTGCTGACAAGCTATGCAGCCATTCTCGTGGTGCTTTTCATCCTGCAGGTGGGCCTGGGGCTGTTTGCGCTGCTGCACATCAAGAACGAAGACGATCTTCACCAGCAACTCGAGCAGAGGCTTGACATTGCCTTCAGCAAATACAACCAGACGGCTGAAGACACGGCAGCAGTGATTTCGATTCAGACCAACTTGGAATGTTGCGGCACCACGTCGCCGAAGTGGTGGAGTTCGGTCGGACTGGAGGTCTCCCCAAGTTGCTACGGAAAGTCTCAGCAAGCAGATGCTTTTGGTCAGGGTTGCATCCAAGCGCTGCTTGCGTTTATTGTGCGATTCGCTAAGTTAACTGCCATCATTGCGCTAAGTGTTTCGGCCATCGATGTGATCGGGGCCGTCGTAGCGCTGTATCTGATCAAATGTATTAAGGCGCGACAAATCAGGAAAGTGTACTATTAGCAAACTTTCGTCGGGACTTTATTTGCCTATCGCCCAAAATCCTGATTTTTCATTAGATGGAAAATTAGAAAACATGGGTTTCAGAATGGATGTTTATTGTCAACTATTTTCATTAACCCTTTACTGCATACCGAGTCAAATGTGATACAAACCAAAATTGTAATTTTTTCTAAGTCTTAAAGTGAAAATAAAGAAAAACTACATGGCGTGTCACATCTGGGACCGATACATAAATGCGTATATGCCGTATTTCTACAATCGCGCAAACCGTACCGCCATTTTAGGCACATTGAACTGACAACTAGTTTGATGTCGCCTTTCATACCATTTAGCTACTTTTCCATGGTGTGTTTATGGAATAAAATCTAGCAGTTTTGTTTGAAAAGAATATTTGTGTATTGCATATTGGTTTTTCTTGCATTTGAAGGTAAGTTTGTTGTATTTTTTGTTTGGTACTTACTATTAGACCGAAAAGTAAGTATGAGTCATTTATGAGACGCTATGCGCTTACATGCTTGGTGGTACACTATGCATTTCAGCAACTGGGTCTAAAAATGAAGTGTTTTTTGCAGATGGATCCAAAAATATTTTACGGTAGTAATCGGGGTATTCACAGCATACCCAGTGATAACGAAAGTGACGATCCAGATCTGTCGCAAGATGAATATGGTCAATCACATCGCATATTGGCCCCTGAAAGTGATGAAGACCAACCTGAAGTTTTTCAATTAGGCGATGAAGATGTCATACCTGAAACTGACATTGAATCTGAT